GTGAATTCGGAGAAGAAGGAAATCCAGCGCGCCATGCGCTGAGAAATGCGCGGTGTGTTGGTCGCCATGCCAAAGGACGCATGATCGGTGTAAAACACGAAGAACTTGGTGAGGGCGTACTTCATGGAGAGAAGTTCTAAGTCGTGAACAGGGTACGCCCGCTCAGCCGCGTGAAGTTGGCGGCTTTGGTAGGAGACTGGGCGAGGGCGACCGAAGGCGTCAAGCTGCATCAGGCAGCAGCCAATGGCAAACTGCGAAGGGTCGCAGACGACGGAGAAAGGTTTGTCGAAGTCCGGGAGCGCTAGGATCGGAGCGCATTGAAGGTTGGTTTTGAGGCCTTCGATGGCTGACTGACAAGCAGAATCCCAAACCCAAAGAGCATCCTTGAGGAGAAGTCGAAACAACGGCTGAGCGATGTCCACAAAGTTGTGCGAGTATAAGTCGCAAGGCCCAGCCAACGAGACTTCACTTAACTAGTACGCTGACTGCAATATGTGACGTACAAAGTAGTAAACAGATTCCACAGAATACTGTACCCCCACAGCGACGAAGATCCTTGACGGATGAGAGAATAGGCCAGTCCGAAATTGCCTTGATCTTGTCGGGATCAGTCCGACAGCCGTTCACCCCCACCAAATCTCCTAGGACGGGGATTTCGTCGACGCCAAACACGCATTTGGCGAGGTTGGCGTAGAGTCCGCATCAGTACGTCGTAAAAACCATCACGTAGGTCGATGGTGGAGAAAATGGTAGATTGACGTCTGTGTCGGAATCATGGCCACGTTCAATTTGTTAAAGGCGTGTACTATATGCCATGCCCCCCTGAGCTACTTCACACAGAAGGTCGAGCTGCTGTGAGGGGAAATTCTCTCACGCACGTGACCCGCCGCCTTGCGGGCAGCGAAGAAGGCGTCGATGGCATCGACTTGTCACGAGGTAGCGGGCATTGCCGCGTGATGCAATACTTAGCGCCGGGCACGAGATCAATCTCGTGTTGAACGCCTTTGTCGACGCGGAGTCGGCAGGGCACCTCGTAAGGGAAGACGTCCTCAAACTTCTTGAGGAGGTCGTATAGGGGTTGTTCCGCAGGGAATCCCACGTTTGGGACTTCAAAGGTGCGCCGAGGACCGGTCATCTGCGGTCGAGGTCGAAAAGAGATCCATCTCTTCTTCGACAGTGATAATGGCCATTGCGGCGATATCATGGGCGCGGAGAGATTCAACAAGCGAGAGGAAGCTCATTTCTGGTATTGCCAGCGTCACGGAGGACGTTCGAGGTAGTTCGTTCAAGTTACACGTTTCTTCAATAAACGTGGCCACCAAGGTAGAGACAGCAATCGGGGGGAAGGCGGAGCCTCACCGATGACAACAGAGAGCGACTCAGTTAGGGAAACCACAGGGAAGTTGTGCAGCAGTACATTGGGGCCGTGTCTGCTGGGGCCAGCGAGCGCGCTGCGGGGCCAGGATGGGCGAGATTATTACTCATCGCCACTAACGGAGGGCCAAGCGGATGGGTGGTGGACGGGGGAAAGCGATGGGCAGCCCGTCGATGAACCAAGTAACCTTGTGCACAGATTTTGCCTTCTAATCATTCCAAGACTGGTGGGACTCCAGCCAGGAAATCCCGATGATGTGATCCATCTCTCATTGAGGTTGATAAGAAAGGTTCGACCGACTTGAAACCGTCGAAGGTGATGGGAAAGTCAACGATGATGCGTGGTTGAAACGCAGTGTGGCCGTCGGTCATCTTGACGAGAACCTTTTCGGAAGGATTCGAAGAGGGTAAGCGATTGAGGTGAATGAGAATGGAGCGGCTGGTGTAGTTATTCGACGCCCTACAATCGATTAAAGCAGAGAACCTGCCCGGAAAGCTAGGCACAATAAGTTCCAAACAAATAATTTTGTTAGGTTGGAAGCCCAACACGAAACAGAAGAAGATCTATGTCCGAGGCTGTATCCTGTGAGTGTGTCAGCGCGCCACACACCTCCAAAGGACCTAGCCCCAGTAGGTCGCCTCGCGAGCGAAGCGGAGAGAGTCTTCAAGGTTTTACCCTTTCGAAGACGTTCTTTCAATGCCGCCTGTGTAGCTTCGGCGATCAGGAGGTACGATCGTGCTACTGATGTCTTCGAGAAGGGTTGTCGGGAGTCATCCTGCCGAGGAGTAGCGCGGTATCGTAATTCTTCCAGTGCACCCCCTATGCTATAGATGTTTACGAGTTCGGTCTATAATAGAATGCGACGGGTCGCAGAAGCAGTGAGTTGATGTAAATCCACTCATTGTCGCTTTCACAGCCCCTGTTTGTCCCGCGCATGTAAGACTGACGGGTGGCGAAATGAAACTTATCGCTGGAATCAGCATAAGACTCTCATTTATCCGAACATTATCCGTATAAAGCCTGGTAAAAAGTCCCAACCGGTGGAGATGCTCTGATGAAAGCTACTTCGTGCAGAAGATACATCATTTAATGGCTTGCCATATCTGTGCAGTAGCCAAAGCATCTGTTGACTTGACTCACGAGTATTGTCTAAAACTCTCAAACCCAACGAAAGTGTGCACAACCTCAGGTGGCACTGGTGTACTAGATTCATCACTAGGAACTCGACGAGGAGATGTGTGTTGCTACTGATGCTAAGGGCGTGTTCGGAGCGACTTTTGTGTCAGCGGTTTTTGGAAGAGTAGCCAATCAAAATCGTTTCCATCGACTTTTGCAAAAACCGCTCTGGGCGACCTCCTTGAGGTCGTTTACAGCGACTTTTGGGATTGTGGCTATTTATTGGGCAAAAATATCAGAAT